TCAATTCAATTAGTGCCTCGTACAAATTTAAGAATTATTACTTATTTATAAAGAGAAAAAGAATATTTTCTCAATGATTTATAGTGGGGTTTAAAACAACTGCCTGGTTGACAGACTCAATCCCAAACTGGGATAAGGTGTTCCAGAAAGTGAATGCATGCCTAAGATATGAAAACGCGTCAAAGAACTGTTATTCCTCACAAATCAATCCGTTGGTACATGAAAAATAAAATAACTATGTGAACTCTCTCAAAACAACTGCCTTAATTGTTGGCAGACTCAATCGCAAAGTGGCCTCAGGTGTTCCGGAAAGTGTAACCATGCTTAAAACGTTTAGGTCGAGTTTTAAACACACCTCATTACGTGAAAACTTCAATCCGTCAGTAAACACGTCAAAGAACTGGTCTTCGTCACAATTCAATACGTCAGTACACACGTCAGCCGCGTCAACGAAATAAAAACACGTCAGACGCGTCAACGAAATAAAAACATGCCAAACGCGTCAAAGAACTGTTATCCCTCTCAGGTCAGTCCATCAGTAAAGAAAACTTAATCAAACTATGTGAACTCTCTTAAATACCACATTTTTGACAGACTCAATCACAAAGTGGTCTCAGGTGTTCCAAAAAGTGTAAGCATGCCTTAAAACGTTTAGGTCGAGTTTTAAACACACCTCAGTAGGTAAAAACATCAGTACGTCAGTAAATACGTCAAAGAACTGGTCTTCGTCACACATCAATACGCTTCAAAGAAATGAAAACACGTCAGACACGTCAAAGAACTGTTATCCCTCAAAAGTCAGTCCGTCAGTAAAGAAAAGTTAATCAAACTATGTGAACCATCATAAAATGCTACATTTTTGACAGACTCAATCACAAAGTGGCCTCAGGTGTTCCAGAAAATGTAAATATGCCTTAAAACGTTTAGGTCGAGTTTTAAACACACTCCAGTAGGTTAAGACTCAAAACCGTCAGTAAACACGTCAAAAAACTGGTCTTCGTCACACGTCAATATATACGTCAGACGCGTCAAAGAGATGAAAACACATCAGACGCGTCAAAGAACTGTTATTCCTCTCAAGTCATTCTGTCAGTAAAGAAAATTTAATCAAACTATGTGAACTCTCTTAAAATACCATGTTTTTGACAGACTCAATCGCAAAGTGGCCACAGTTGTTCTAGAAAGTTTAGCCATGCTTTTATACATTTAGTGTGAGTTTTAATCACACCTCAGTAGGTAAAAACTCCCTTTCGTCAGTAAACACGTCAAAGAACTGGTCTTCGTTACACGTCAATACGTCAGTTCACACACCAGACGCGTCAAAGAAATGAAAACACGTCAGATGCGTCAAAGAGCTGTTATTCCTCGGAAGTCAGTCCATCAGTAAAGAAAAGTTAATCAAGTATGCTCTCTTAAAATACTGCCTTTTTGACAAGCTTAACCGCAAAGTGGCCCCAGGTGTTCCAGAAGGTTTAAGCATGCCTTTATACGTTTAGTTTGAGTATTTGTGGCATGATTGACGCATTGGCTTTTTTTTACCTGTTGATCGTGTGAAAGATGGAATGCTCTATCTAAGAAGTAATGTTTCCGATGAACTGACAGACTTGTTGGACTATGTTGATAATACATATGTGTCTGATGGATTTCGTGCTATACAGCCCCCTGTAATTGTTCCAGGAGGTCCTCTCCCCCCAATAAGAATGAGTAGGCGACCAGCTCTTTTTCCTCCCGAGCAATGGAATGTACATCTGGCCACCTTAGATAATGAAAGTCGTACCAACAACTTTGGTATCTTGACTGTGTTCGACAACATTCCGAAAGATGCATGTCTCGTAGCAACTGCTTTCCATCAAGATGTTAGGGTGAACTACCATCCAAACGCACCAAACGCTCTACCCAGCAATTGCAGTTCCGTCTTTACAACTTATGTGAACAGTTCAAAAAAGCTGAAAAAAATGTGGAAGATTTCTTGAAAGGTGTAGCAAGAAATATAAGATTGTTGTGATTGTCCGATGAGAAATTATATGTCCTATCCTGTTTCCTTATTGACACATAAATGTGCCCCAACCTTCAAATAGGTTACCTTTTTTATGACTCAATGTGCTACATTAATTTTGTTTTACAATTTTAAGTTTGTTTGATATATATTAAAAGTTTTAAATAATTTGATTTTTTTGTAGGGGCTTTTGTCCTAGGTAATAGGGGGTTTTTGTCCATAGGGGCTTTTGTCCTAGAGCAAAATTGTGTAGGGGCTTTTGTCCATCTACCGTTAATTCATCACACTAATTTATTAACAGACTGTTTAATTAGTTAATATTAATTATTTAGGGTTCACTATTTAGCATTTAGCAGCTATCCAGAGTAGTAATCCATCACAATAATGACACTACTTATTTTCCTGTTATCCTAGGTCTAAGGTTTAAAATTTTAATAACCTTTCAAATTATTTTCTTCTGCTTAATTTACCTGCATTTTACACCCTATAATTCCTAATCACTACCGATTGGACTAGAAAATTAGTCAAAAGTATGACCAATTACGAATCTATCTTCATGAGTTATTTAATTGCCCTTGTACAAATCCTTATATGTCATTATGCCGACAAACATCAAAGTCCTAATTACTGTGCTTAACTTAAAACATGTATTACCTTTATTACTTTATGACATTCAGAATACCCACAATCTTCAAAAAAGTTAATTTTGTTGGCTAGTTCTACTACTGAAGTGTGATGAATACTCAAACTAAATGTATAAAGGCATGCTTAAACCTTCTTGAACACCAATTTGCGATTGAGTCTGTCAAAAATGTGGTATTTTAAGAGAGTTCACATAGTTTGATTAACTTTTCTTTACTGACGGACTGACTTGTGAGGAATAACAGTTCTTTGACGCGTCTGACGTGTTTTCAACTCTTTGACGCGTCTGACGTGTGTACTGACATATTGACATGTGACGAAGACCAGTTCTTTGAATTGTTTACTGACGTACTGATGTTTTTACCTACTGAGGTGTGTTTAAAACTCGACCTAAACGTTTTAAGGCATACTTATACTTTCTGGAACACCTGAGGTCACTTTGCGATTGAGTCTGTCAAAAATGTGGTATTTTAAGAGAGTTCACATAGTTTGATTAACTTTTCTTTACTGACGGAAAGACTTGAGAGGGATAACAGCTCTTTGACGTGTTTTCATTTCTTTGACGCGTCTGACGTGTGTACTGACATATTGACGTGTGACGAAGACCAGTTCTGAGACGTGTTTACTGACGGATTTGAGTTTTAACCTACTGAGGTGTGTTTAAAACTCGACCTACACGTTTTAAGGCATGTTTACACTTTTTGGAACACCTGAGGCCACTTTGCGATTGAGTCTGTCAAAAACGTGGAATTTTAAGAGAGTTCACATAGTTTGATTAACTATTCTTTACTGAAGGACTAACTTGTGAGGAATAACAGTTCTTTGACGCGTCCGACGTGTTTTCATTTCTTTGACGCGTCTGACGTGTGTACTGACGTATTGACGAAGACCAGTTCTGAGACGTACTGACGGTTTTGAGTCTTAACCTACTAGAATGTGTTTAAAACTCGATCTAATCGTTTTAAGGCATACTTACACTTTCTGGAACACCTGAGGCCACTTTGCGATTGAGTCTGTCAACAATTAAGGCAGTTGTTTTAAGAGAGTTCACATAGTTTGATTAACTTTTCTTTACTGACGGACTGACTTGTGAGGAATAACAGTTCTTTGACGCGTCTGACCTGTGTACTGACGTATTTACGTGTGACGAAGACCAGTTCTTTGTTTACTGACAGAAGTTTTGGTGTTCCGACCGTGTGATGAAATTTACGGCCTAAAATTATTGACGCACACTTAACCTTTCTAGAATACCTGATGCCACACAGATCTTGAGTTTTCCAAAAAAGCAGCCCTTTGAGAAAGTTCCTATTGTTCATGCGTTTTTTACAAAAACTCTGTAAAGAACGAACAATATTGGCAATTCCTACTGTTTTGACGTGTTTACCGACGTGTTTATTTTCATAACAGAATTTTCTAAATGATCTTTCGTTTTTCGTTGAAATATATTGAAATTCTGTATTTTGTAAGGTATCATTGACGTGTCCATTTTCAAAATATCGTTTTTATTTCGTTTTGTGACTAAAAATAATATGATTCTTGATTTTATAAGGTAGCATTGACGTGTGACGTGTTGACTGACTAATGACGTGTGACGGAGAAACAATTGTGAAATTCGGTGTTGAATCCTTATATCCACGAAAATAGGTTACACCACTGTATACAGCCAGGCATTATAGGGGAGGAAACCACTAGGGTGGAAATTGTAAATGGGGGGAAACCACTATGGGAGGAACTTGTAAAGGGGGGAAACCACTGTAAGCCACTGACCTGACCAATTGTTGGAGCCATTATTGTCAAATGCCAAGTTGACTATATAACCTAACTCCTTACGAGATGTGTCTAAATAAAATAAAAGTACCGGTAAATAAAAAGAGAAAATCAATAAATCTAACCAAACCACTTATCCGCATCATCATCCGTCGGCTCTGGTGCAGTAAAATCAACATACTGTGGAGCACTGAAACTCCAACTGTCATCTTGCGATTCCATATTCGAAATTTGACAAAAAAAAAACCTTGTTTATCAAATTTCAAACAGATTCTGGGCCTATAATAGAAGACTAAATTACATGAACATCCAACTTTCGAGTAAGAAAAAGGACCGAATAAAATTCAATCTACCCGCACTTTTACAACAGCCAATGAAAATACACTCATAATAGCACGTGACCAGATTTTCGAAGAAAATAAAGGTTTCAAGGTCAAAATAATGTCGAAAGAATTTATTGGATTTGTTACTGGCTTGCCACTTGTATCAATTTCATTGCAGAAAAAGTTTACATTTTTCATTACACAACAAAGAAAATGAAATTTACTGCGCACCTAATGTTATGAATTCAAGGTGAAGGTCGTTTACTGGTACAATCGTTTCACTTTTTCCTTGGTGTCGCCATTGCTTAATAAGATATCATTTACGTAACCCGTGAGGTAACTTGTATTTTACTCATTATGAATATAATACGGCCTGTTTATATTGAACTTGACAGCCTACATTACCTCAGTAAAATGAACTCATTGACGAAGGCTGTAAGTAAAACAGAAATGACAAAAAAATAAATAAATTCTGACTGACAATGACATTAGTATTAGTGACAAGGAACATGATATTATTATGACATTTATTCCGTTCAGAGTGTTGTAACTAGGTAGGTAGGTTTATCATTCGAAGTTTCCTGTTGGTCCGTGCGGGACAACTTAGACCACTTTTCAAAGACAACTCGGACCACAGAGTCTAATATATTATAGAGTTAGGCCAAAGCAGTTTTGTCAGGATTTTCTGCAGCTCTGAAGGTGCAGGTGTTTAACCTATTTATTTAAAATGGATCCTCAAAACCCAGAGATATATTTTTTGTTCTGTTCCGTCATACCATCATTGCCCCCTTAATAATTTATGTCACATCTGTGGTTCTATCAAAGTGTTATTAAGGTCCGAGTTGTCTGTAAGGGGATTAAAAATTTCAAGCTAAGTGTGTTGATATTGTAATGCTAGAGCTAAGAATCCATGTTCCCAAGCTGGAATCTTGCCAGTTTTCTTGTATCCGGTGTTGAAAATATGAAACTTAAATATTTGCACCTCTTGCCGAGAGTGTGACCTGTGATCAAACCAAACAAATGACGTTATTCTTATATATAACTCCGCTAGTTGACCTTTTCTAGTTTGACGAGGTCAACTTTCTGTAAACAATCTGATTGACAAAACGAAGTGTTCAATTCATCCGGAATCGAAAGATCATGCAAAAGTCATTCAATATTTTGGAAAAGTGTTGGACAAGAGTCGTATCTTTTGCAAAGAATGTATTTATCTGGAGCGCGGCGAAAAAGAAGTGCAGAATGATGTATTTGCAGGTAAGAAAATGAAAGTGGGTTTTTTACACGACACTGGTTTGTTGACATTTTTGGTTTGGTCGCTTTTGATTAATTGTAAAACTAATACGCAGTTTTAAATAGATTGTTTTCTAAAAAATTCACATATAGGGCCTATAGCCAAAAGTAAGGTCAATATCATTGTATGAGGCTTACTCAAAATTGTGGTGTCTGTGTTATGCCAACTTTTTTTTTTCGTAGGGACCGTGCTTGCATTATGTTGATGACAGTTTTTAAATACATGTGGGCTATAGGTAAAGCTACTACCTGTTATGAAAATAACAATTCATGTAATAAAGAAAGGTTTTATCAAGAATATATCTTCCATCACAACTTTGAGTTTGATTGTAAATTCTTAATTCATGTAGGCCTACATAAAAAATGAAGGCATATTCACCATTATAGAGCTGTTGTACATTTATTGAGAAATAATACATTTACAACTGCCACAGAAAGTGTAAAACTCCTAAGCAATTTTGTCCCATAGAACAGGTTGCAATAGAAATATAAAAAACAATTTGTGCAGTATTCTATATATCTAATATTAATGTGTTAAATATTTTGATTATTACATAAACTTTATTTATTACCCATTTTCTTCAGGTTTGGTTCAGAACCTTTTTTATATGAAAAAACATTCAAGATCGATGATAACAAATTGTTACTGGTAAAGAAAATTATATCTTTGTTAAAATCTCAATGAAGAAGTATATGTCAAATTACAGAAGTTAAATACATAGATGGTTGTTCTGTACGCATTGTATAAAACAGAATCCATGGCTGGACTACAAATTACAGGTATTTTGTAAAACATGTATATCCAACTTGAATGTTTAGTTCAAGTGGTATCTAGTCATCCTTGATTCCAGAGAAGCAATCGTCTCCCAGATTTTCATTTTTCCCATTTTTTACCATTCCCCCCCCCTACACACACACACCCCTTTCTATCACCTCCAATGTCTTTATTTTATTTATTTTAGTTTAATTTGCTTGAAATACAAGTTTAAAAGTGAAATGTTAATGAAGCATGTAAGAAAATGTTTAGTTTAAGTACAGACAATGAGAAAATTTTATAACCTGATGTAGTGTTATGGTCAACAACATTTTGAAGCCGAGTCTCATGGAATGTGGTGAATGACAATTTATTAATTATTTGGATGGAAATGGATCTTGCCAATTCCGGTTTATGTAATAGTAATGTTTATTGTAAATGTAATAAAAGTTGAGAAAGAAAAAGGTTCTCATGTCAATCTACTTTTTTTTTCATTCACTGATTACTTTGGTCGTGTGAATGTCTCAAATTGGAAACTAACAGATTTAGAAGAGGATTAATGTATGTTCGATGCATTTAAACTATTCTAGACTGGTAAATGTGAAATATAACTATTAAATTGTCTCTTAATATAACTAACAGTCATAATATTTCATATTTGCTACTGAATGTGGGTTAAATGAAAGTATTTGAAATGTTGAGTGTATTTTTGTTATTACCTTTGACTAACCGTTTTCTTTAACTGATTTATAACATTTGGGGAGACTGCACCATATATTCAACAAATCCTGAGTGTTTCATGCCTCATAGAGTCTCAAAATATTTTTTCATAGCTCATTAAAGTTCTAGATTTGTATAAAAATCAAATAAAAATGTGCATCTTTAAAAGCTGAAATTTGGAGTTGTGGAACTTTCTGAATGTGGGAACATGGATTTTTAGTAAGCTATAACATATAGGAATAGATTCCAACTGAGAACAAGTAATCTCCAGGTTGTGCTACAAAACATCATTTTAAAGCACATTTGAGAGGCACAGTCCATGGCCTACTAGTAAAAAAGTGTTCGGATGTGGCTTTAAAATGTGATCTGAAACGGTGCCGAATCAGCATATACCTCAGTTTGCCTTGATGTAATAAGAGCCTTGATGTACTGGCTTACAGTGGTTTCCCCCTTTTACAAGTTCCTCCCATAGTGGTTTCCCCCTTTTTCAATTTCCACCCTAGTGGTTTCAACTGAATTTGGCCGCCTTTTCGTGTAGCCGGCGATTTGAGCTGTCAAGTTAGCCGCCTTTTGACAGCCACCGATTCAAAATAGTGATACTAACTCGCCCAAACGATCTAATATTCTTTAACCAATCACTGCCATGCATACATGATATAAAATGAAAGTAGGTCTAAAAATAGTACATTAGTTTTCGACACTTCTGAAAATCAACACTTATAGACATATTGCGGCTCAAATTACGACCCATCATACAAAATTCTCAACACTGAGTCTTATATGTTTCAAAAGGGCATCAGATGAGCTTTCATAAAATTTAGGTTAAAACCTGGCACATTAGTATTAAAGGGTGGCCACCCCACTAAACATGAAGATTTAAAAAAAAATCGAATTTTGTACGATGGGCCATAATTTTAGCCCGAAAATGTCTATAAGTGAAGATTCTGAAAGAATAGTCAAACTGTATATATTTTAAGTGTGGGACATCTACCCTTTAATATGAATGTGCCAGGTTTTAACCTAGATTCAATACTCTCTTGAAACATATAAAGTATGTATAAGTACTATTTTTAGATCTACTTTCATTTTATATTATGGATCCATGGCAGTGATTGGTTAAGGAATATTTGTTCGTTTGGGTGAGTTAGTATCACTATTTTGAATCCGCGGCTTCTAAAGGGCGGCTAACTTGACAGCTCAAATCGACGGCTACGCGTAATGGTGACCAAATTGTCTCAATATTGAGAATTTTGTACAATGGGACGTAATTTTAGCCCGAAAATGTCTGTTTTATTTAGGTTATTTGCCTTATGTACTATTTTTAGATCTACTTTCATTTTATATTATGTATCAATGGCAGTGATTGGTTAAGGAATATTTATTCATTTGGGCGAGTTAGTATCATTTTTTTTTTAATTGGCGGCTACTAAAGGGATGTTAACTTGACAGCTTGAATCGACAGCTATGCGAAAAGGCTGTCAAATTGTCTTCAGGGTGGTTTCTACCCAGTGGTTTCCTTCCCTATAAATATGTATTGTAAGTTTAAGAAAATCTCCAATGAAAAATTATGTACCCTTAAATATTCCAAGACAAATGATTTACAATCGAAATTTCAATTAAGAAATGACAGTTAAACAGCGTTGGTAGCCCGTGGTTTCCCCCCTTTTCAATTTCCGCCCCAGTGGTTTCTTCCCCTATATTTCCACATAAGCTAAGGGTTTGTAAAGCCGAATAGTTTGATTTAATCAAATACACAAGCTTAAATTCTACAAAAAGAAAAAAATATGTAGAGGATATATTAAAACAGAACCTAAAAAAACATGTTGTTACCCACATGAAATGGGGGGTGTATATTGTCGTCACCCTGTCTGTCCGACCACAATTGCTTGTAAACACTCTACAAGGCACAATTCTTGACGGATTTTGACAAAACTTGGTATGAATGTTCCTAATCACCCAAGGATGAACCCTATTGAAAATCAGAAGAATTGAAAAATATTTAGTATGAGTTATTGCCCTTGTTCTTGAGAACAAATTCAATTTTTAGCTTGTGAACACTCTAGAAGGCACAATTCTTGACGAATTTTGACAAAACTTGGTGTGATTGTTCGTTATCATGAACCCTATCAAAAATCAGAAAAATCGAAAAATATTTAGTATCACTTATTGCCCACGTTGTTGAGAACGCTTTCATATTGTAGCTCTTAAACACTAAGAGGCATGATTCTTGCCGGATTTTGACAAAATTTGGTTTTATTATTCAGTGCCGCGCTGAAGGTTGAATATTTGCCTCTTTAAGTTTTCAGAGCTAAAAATTGAACATGTTTTCAAGAACTAGGGCGATAACACATACCCAATATTATTCAGTATCGCCCTAAAGAGTTCAAAAGAAGTGTAAGACTGAAGTTTGGATATTTCATACTGGTGATTGTTACTGTACCGGTACTGCTAAATATATTTATTCAAAATCAAAGCTGTCAGTGGGTGTATATTACCTTGCCTTGTAAGCTATCGTTTATGATATGTGAATTGGAATTACATCAATTTTTTTCTTTCGTAGGTGAGAAGTTTGAGACTTTAAATGAATAAGTAGTAACTCTGATTGGTCTCTTTTTTGTTACAGAGTTGTGGTTGTCAGAATGGAGAGTATTAATGTAACAAAAGGACAAAGTGTTTTAGTGCTATGGGGAGGTAACCAGCCTACTGAAAATATGACTGATGTTGTTAATAGTTTAAAGGAAAAAGTTGGCCCATCTGGAAGAGTTCAGCTAGAGCATGTTGGTAGATTGAATTTTGGTAAGTTTATTGTTGTGAGATGCGAGATGAAAATGATCCCTCATTTAGAAACTCATATCTTCATCACATTTTCATTAAAATTACATTTTTTAACTATTTGTCAAGTGGGTAAAGAAACAACTAGAACTTTATGCAGTTTTAAAAAATATACATGTTAGTTAATCTTGTGAAATTATCCATTTTAGCCAAACACCCTGATTCAAGTTTTGATGTGGTCTTATCTGGAGTGTTTCAACCTGGAGTTATCTCCCATACAATAGAATTATTAGGTGAAGTGTGTGCTATATTAAAAATTGGCGGTAAATTATATCTTCGTGAAATTATCAGTAAATCAAATCCTACACAAGAATTAAAAACAGCAGACAATTTATGTCGTGAAATCAAACTATCAGGTTTTATTGATATATTACAGGTAATGTCTTCTATTCAATAAATTACCCTTACTAGGTTTCAATTACTGATAGTGGTTGTGATGGATATTGCGAAGTAAAGACTTCAATATTTGTCTTGTATTATTTCCTTGCAATTTGAATTTAAAGAATTCAACAATGCCTTCATTGCTGTGTACTGATTTCAATAATATTCTACCATCTTTGACAAAATATGCAATTATTATTAATAACTTGTTAAAGCAATAACAGACGATTGATGGTAAATTATTTCATTGCCATGCATTGTGTTCAAAATGTTAAACCAAAACAGCTTCAAGACTTAAGAGGAGCATGAACAGTCTTATATTTGAATGTTTGTTGGAATGGGATAAATCTCAGTTTTTTTAGAGGGTCATAAAAAGATCATAAAACAAATTTAAATGTTGTTTTTTCCAATATTTCTTCTAGCCTAGTCTGGTACCACTAAGTGATGATGATAAAAGTGCATTAATTAAAAGTAAGAATCATGGGGATATAGATTTAGTACAGGTAGAAGCAAGTAAGCCAAGTTATGAGATTGGTTCATCAACCCAATTAAAACTTAATTTTACAACAGTTCCTCAAGGTTAGTTAAAGGATATGTGAGATGAGCTCCTGGTGATTTTATCACTTTTCCTAATCATCTGTACACATGTTCAAATTGCTCACTAAGTTACATAATTGTTTTATCAAACAGTGAGCTCTGCTTTAATTAAGACTTTTTATGTTTGTCTATTATTTAATTATAAATTTCAGCCAAACAAGAAATAGATCCACAAGTAGCAAAAGTATGGACCTTAAATAGTAATGATTTAGAAGATAATGATATAGAATTGCTAGATTCAGATACATTACTAGATCCTGAAGATTTAAAAAAGCCTGATCCTTCCACACTAAAAGGTAGAAATTAGAACCAGACATCTCATATAATCTCAGTTTGAGACAATGAAATAGACCTTTCAAAATGAATTTGAACTTAAACCGTCACAACATACATATTCAATGTTAGTTTGGTTATTAAGTTCTTGTGTTTTGAATAAACAGCATAAAACATGCAATACATGTCGAGCAGATGCAAAAGGAAATATCTGGGACTATTTTGTGTCAAAATACCATATGGATGCAAAGGTTCTTTTCTTGGATTAAAGAATGAATGGAATATTGAAACAATGTTATAATTCTAGCTGGTTGTGGTCCTACAAGAAAAAAAGCTTGTAAAGACTGTACATGTGGTTTAGCAGAAGAGTTAGATAATGGTGATGATACCAAACAGTCAAACCTTTCATCTGCTTGTGGCAGTGTAAGTTACTTATTCTAATTCTTTCAAAAAGATTTGACAAAAAATGGAGGTATTGTTTATACTCAATGAATCGGTTTAATCTTTTTGAACTACTTTACTAGAGATATGACTTGTTGCTTTTTGTAAAGATAGTGGACCACACCCATATGGATGGTAAATATTTTGGGGCAAAGGGCAATATCTCTGCTTTTAACGGTCGAAAATAGCTCAAATTCGAACTTGATATTGAGCTATGATTTTCATTTTATGAATATCTATACACATACCGAATTTCATTTGATGTTGACGGACGGACAGGGGTGCCGACAATATACGTCCACATAGAGAGATGTGGGCGTATAAAAATGATTTATTCCTAAACACTTGAAAGAACACAATATTGTATTTTTGTTTTTCTTTCCAGTGTTATTTAGGTGATGCATTCAGATGTTCCAGTTGTCCTTATCTGGGTATGCCAGCTTTTAAACCAGGTGAAAAAGTCTCATTAAGTCAAAGACAGATGAAAGCTGATGCTTAAATATTGGCCATCAGAAATTGAATTCCACAGGAAACTCTCTATACTCCATCTCTGTACAACAATTATTGAAAATCATAGTTCTAAATATTCAATTTTAATCATGTGTAAAATCAAAGTAAATCAATCCCTGTTAGATTAACAATGTTATCGTAAATACTAGATATTGGTATGTTTGAGAATGCTACATGTATAGGGATGAAAGATGTAGATATTAAAGAATGTGATAATTCAAATTTCTAGCCAAAGCTGCATATATTATTCAAGGGGTTTTCAATGTGGAGGTAATTTTTCCTGATGGGGTAATTTTGGCATCTTTTGGGTAATGAGGCGCTTTGTAGTGTGAAAGGGGGTAAAAGAAAGAAAAAAATTGAAAACCCTTGTTGATTAATGAAGCAAATTTTCAAGGCCACTACTCTACCTTGAAATATCTGAGGTTTTTATTCCAGCCAACCTAAGCAAAGTCTATTCACTTGAAAAGGGAAACAGTTAAGAAAACTGATTTTCAATCTACAATAAAAATTGAAAACTGGATATCATGTACGTTAAGTATAAAGCATACATTTAATTCGATGGGATCAATACATGGTTGTTAACTGTCATACTTACGAGGCAAAAGGGTGTAAGGGAACAACTTTGTAGGGAATGTATCTTTAATAGAAGTAAATAACAAAGAGTTTACAATATAGTTATATATAATTTATAATGGTAATAGTAAAATTTAAAATGGATATAGCTCTCTAATCATTCCCTTGCATTGGCTTCAAATGAGCCAAAACGACAAGACCAAGTGATCCTTTCCTCCTGGCCCTAACCTTGTGTTCAGATCTGAGGCCTGCACTATTTAAGATAAAGTTAAAAAAAAAAAAAAAAAAAAAGGAAAATTCTATTTCATACTTCAATAAAATTGTTTCCAAAGGTAAATCTGGTTTAAATCTTAAATACTCTGAAATATGCAGATATTTTATATGATATAAAGTAAAGGTAAAAAGAGTAAAGCACTATTAAGTGGATTTCTGTATACAAAGCAAAGAATACATACAGTATAAACATGCATAAAAGATATAATTTCAAATCAAACAAACAAACAAACAAAAGTTAACTTAACAAAGATACTTCAAAGATAGCTTGCGAGGCAAGGTAACATACGCCCATTGGCAGCTGTCAGAAATAATAAAACAGTCTTTAGTGACTAAAGTACGAATTTTCTCATATTGAAGAAATTTTATCATTTTGAATTCGATTACATATATGCCAGTTATATATGTGAAGTAATTCCATAAAATTTCTTAAAATCAATATAAATAACCCAAATACAACAAACAATTAAATCACACAGCTCTAATCAAGGGCAAAATACAACTTTTGACACGTGTTTACAAGGTCAAGGGCAATAACTAAGTTCATCAAAAATATCTCAAGTTAGAACTTGTCCGAGATCTTATGAATTCCATTGATCACACCAATTTTCATCAAAATCGGTTGAAAACTGTAGCTCCTATTGTGCTCACAAACAAATTTTGAAGCGTTTTACAAAGTCAAGGGCAATAACTCCGAAAGCGTTCATTGAAAATGCCTTAAGTTAGAACTTGTCCGAGATCTTATCAATTCCAATGATCATAACAAGTTTGATCAAATTTGGTTGAAAACTGTAGCTTCTATAGTACTCACAAAGACATTTTGACGCGTTTTTACGAAGTCAAGGGCAGTAACTTAAAAACCATTCAGCGAAAATCCGTCTTGTTAAAACTTGATCGAGATCTTATCAATTCCAATGATTATGCCAAGTTTCATCCGAATCAGATGAAAACAGTAGTTCAATCCTAACTATTTTTAACAAATTTCGACGGGTTTTAACAAAATCAAGGGCAATAACTCAAAAACCGTTCATTGAAAATATGTCAAGTTAGAACTTGTCCGAGATCTTATCAATTCCAATGATCACACCAAGTTTCATCAGAATCTGTTGAGAACTGTAGTTTCAATCCTGCTCACAAACTATTTTTAACAAATTTCGAAGCGCTTTAACAAAGTCAAGGGCAACAACTCAAAAACCATTCATCGCAAATGCGTCAAGTTAGAACTTGTCCGAGATCTTATGAATTCCAATGATCACAACAAGTTTCATCAGAATCAGATGAAAACTGTAGCTTCAATCCTGCTCAAGAACAATTTTTAACAATTTTCAAGGCGTTCTAAGTCAAGGGCAATATCTCAAAAACCGTTCATCGAAAATATGTCAAATTCGAACTTGACCGAGATCTTATCAATCTAAAGCATCACACCAAGTTTTATCAAAGTCAGATAAAAACTGTAGTCTCTATAGTGCTCACAAGAAATGTGGACCAACGGACAGGGGCAACAACAATATACGACCACATATTCATGCTATTCAAAGACTGAATTGGATTAAAATTGTAAGTAATAATAAACACTGAATTGGATGTGTTAACTTTTGATGTATTAATGATTTAAAGTGATCTATCATAGCCGAGACTTAAGAATGGTATATGGAATTACACAAAAATTTAACCCTTTGTCGTCAACACAAAAATTACTCAAAATAGAGGAAGGTATCGAGGAACAAACAAACGAGAAAGTATTCTGAAAATTTTCATACAATTTTATTATTTTATTCTGAAAATGTTGATCCTTTTTTAATATCAGTTTACTACATAATGAGTATACTTAAAAAAATCTAATAAGTGGTGGCCTAGCAAGATATTCCCACTTTTCTGATGCATTTTCAGTATAACAAGGCAGTTACCAATTTGCATCAAATCATACTAAAAATCTAAATTGTGCAATACATTGCTCATTGAAAGTGATACTACATCTTGGGAATGAACATAAAATTCAAGAATTTTAAACTTGGCGAAAAAGATTTAGTAGATTTACCTGGTGTCATAAATAATTTAACAGGATCCATTTCAAATCTGATTAATCAAAAAAACTTAGTATTATCCATAAATATGCAATTATCTATTGAAAAACACTTAATCTCAAGATTTTTCAATATTACTTATTTTTATGAATTTTCCACTTTTCCAGACATAAACTGTTACCTCTCTTGCGTTCATAAACCAATAAATTTTGATACATTTTTACTAAGTCAAGGGCAATAACTCCAATTCCGTTGATAGAAAAAATTATGACTAAGATCAAATTGTTATAGATGATCACACCAAATTTCTCTCAAGTCAAGATTCTAATTTCTCTATAGTGTAAACTGTAGGCCTACAAAACCTTTCCAAATTACATAGTTCTGCTTATTTAACTAAATATTAACACCACAATAAACAATACTTTAACTAATACTTGCCAGCGTCTTCTATTGAACAGTAACTGTTACTTTTAATCGCCCTAATCTCTATAGTGTTCAAACCATTTTGACACGTTTTTCCTTAGTCAAAGGCAATAACTAAAAAAAATTGTTCATCGAAAAGTCACCAACTTGTCCAAGATCTAATCATTATAAATGATCTCACCAAATTTCATTTAAATCCAATGAAAACTGTAGTCTCTATTATGTTAAGCAAATTTCAACGCTTTTTACCTAAGTCAAGGGCAAGAACACAAAAACCCTTAATCGAAAGATTGTCAAATTTTAACTTGTCCAAGATTTCATCAATATAAATGATCGCACCAAATTTCATCAAAATCAGATAAAAACTGCAGTGCACAAGATCGACGGACAGACAGGGCGACAACAATATTCGACGGTAGTTAATTGCGAGGTGAGACTGAAATAAATTGTGAAAACAATAGAAGTGGAATTCAGAAAAAATGACAAGGCACTGTGAAATGATAATATTAAAAATTATTTCAATAAATAGTCACCTGTTTTTCAGGTGACTTAAATAGTAAGTGGCTTTAGTAAATGATGTTGCAACAAGAATAGGTCTGGAAAATTGGCATCATTCACTGGTATCACCATAGATTAATGAAATTAATTCTTTCCATTTTTATAACAAATGCAGTCAGTCAGTCTATTTTATGTCTTAAGATCTACATACCTTTAATAAGCTGTCTGGTAAAATCAATTTGCATCACAACCAATGTAATGTGAAAATGCTATCATAAAAACTATAGCAATAGATAAAGATCAATTAAATAGAAAACAAACAGCTTGCAAGGCAGGGTGATATACACCCATAGCAGCAGTTAAGAAATCATGGATGATTTTCATGGTAAAATAAAAAAATAAAAAAAGTTTGATTCATCTTCAAATTAATGTTATCTTTAACTTTATACTTGTTAGTGATCTCATCAATCAACAATAAGTTTCATTTGATCCCTAGCCTCATTAGTGCTAATAACCCCTTCACAGTATAATAACTCAAATACCATTCATGAAAATATTCTCAAATTTGAGCTGTTCTCATTATTCTGTATGTCAAATAAAGGTTCATCAAAGTAGAAAACCCTTGTTCCATTCACTCAAACAATGCTGACAGACAGACAAATGAATAAAAATATACTCCCACATTTTCATGCGAGCACAAAAAAAATAATGAAAAGATTATGCACATATTGTTTTTAGCACTTTTTGACTGATTTATTTGCCTTTATTAGCAAGTTCATATGCCATTTCATAATATTTGCTAAATTTGGCCGTGTGGTCTAATGGGAGGTAAATATACGGACTCATGTTAAATGCTTCTTTGATGCCATACTTCCGAACACTGGATAAATGACATCGACTTAAATGGTATCGATATGAACCTTTTGACACAAACTGGCGACTACAAGCTGCACACTTATAATCACGTTGTTCACCTTCACTTACAGGACTAGCTCTATCTTCACTAGATGATAATGTTCCTTCTTGTCCTACATCAATATCTTCATCATCTGATAAACACTGTTTAACTGACAGATTCAATGGTAGAGCTAATTCAGGAATACCAGTCAGATATGGTAAATCAAAATGACGCGATAATGCTTTTGGAATATCAGTTTTAGTGAGAAGTCTTTGTAAACTGTCTAAAGGGTGTTCACTAGTCATAGGTTGACTGTAAACAAATGAACTAAGTGAATTTAAAGCTGATGCTTCCTCCTTTTCTTTGTCTGTTTCCTTTTCTATATTTAGGTATTTAGTTAAAACAGAATGATCAAATGAAGAGGAAGGTTTTATATCTGTATCAGATGAATTGTCTTTAATAGATTGTTCACATTCATTATTTACATCCTCATTATCATCAACTTTCTCATTATCATTTTCTTTTTTTATATTATTACATTTCTTACTTTCTATAGTCTTATTCTTGTCACTTGATACCTTGCACTGTCCATTTTTTACCTCTCTGTAGTGGAGAGCTTCGTATAAATTTTTGTATTTTGAAAGTTTGTTATTCTCTTTTTTAAAACCTGATTCTGATTTTGATAAATGCAATGAATGCCTATGCATGGTACTTGGTACTGGAACACAGTTTTGCCTACGATAATCAAATTTAGTTGAAAAACTATTTTGAATGAAAGATTCCATAGCCTGTAAAGCTGATTTTGATGAAGGTGTATTTAGATTAGGATCTAGAATATCCATTGTCAATGAGCTTGGTATTGACTCTTGCTCAACTTGAGAAGGAACTTGTTTAACAGGAGTTGTTTCCCTTTTATCATCATCTTCAGCAATTTCTCTTTTGATCTCTTTTTCCTTTTTAATGGGAATTTCTTCAGTATTGGATGAGGTCTCTGGTTTACCATTTACAGATTTGTTGGGTGGACTGCACAAAGAATTATGTTTTTCATTTAAATCTGCAGATTTCTTGCCCTCATTTCCTTTATTTAAATCTTCAATTATCTTTTGTTTTGGTGAGAATGCTTGAAGTATTCTTGATTTTAGATGGTGCGATAAATGAGTTTTACGTTCCTTTATCTCTGCACTTTCTTCTGTGTCCTGTATCTTCCTCTTTCCAGTGCGCTGAGGACTTAATGGAGGAGAGGTGCATGAATTTTCACTATCTGATAGAGTTTTATTCGATTCATCATTTAAAAGTTTGCTTTTTAACACACCTATTACAGAAGATTTTTGTCGAATACAAGCTCTAACATGATCAACAAAATACTTCATTTCAATTCTCTTGCCACAGTTTTCACAGGTAATAGAATTGTCATGAGGTAATGGAATAAATATGTCTTCATCATCCAATAAACTATTGGGTAAAGGTAGACATTTTCTTTTGAAATCATAATAATTTGATAAAATGTTAGCACTATCATCACTATTAAATCTTTTTCGCCTATTTCGTAATGTTAAATCAGAGTAATTTTGTGCACGAAGAACTTGTTTTTTATGATGTCCTGATTGTACCATGTGATTAGCAAGGGCTTCCATATCACCAAATGCCTCATGACAAACTTTACACTTAAATACACATTCACGTTCCAGTTCTTTTTCACAATATGCCGAACATTTATGAGACCTTCGACCGTGATCAGCACTTACAATTTTGGTATAATGTTGTGTTTTCATCATATGAACTGTCAACATCGGAAGAGATTGAAATGATTCTCCACACTGCATACAACGTAGAATTCTTCTGGTTTGTTCAGATTCCTGATTTAGCCACATATCTTGACCACGGACCAGTTTAGGATAATCAAGAAGTGTTGATGCTTTAGCATTTACTGGTGTATGTCCTGTATCTTGTATATGTGAACTTAAAGCATGGAGTGATGCATAAGTTTTATTACATGAACATCTATGGGTTGTGTATTTATTGTCACCGGAGTAAACCTCTTCTTCATTTCCTGTTGATTTGGTTGGAAATTTTAATGATATGTTAGTCGATGTTGTTGATTTTTCTTTCTTAACAAATTGTGGTTTAATATTAGATTTAATATGTGCTGCTTGTAGTGGTGTTTGAGGATTGTATGGTTGTTTAGATACTCTGTTAAGATGATTGGTAGGTTGTAAGGGGACTATAGAACTTGGTTTTCGTGGAGGCTCAATATTAAAGTTTCCACCAAATCGCATTTGAAGACTCTTTAAACTAGAGGATAAACCTTCTTCTTTGGAGTTATAATTAGCAGAATCTTTAGATGAATCTTTGCTTTTAGATTTGGTGGATAAATCTAATGGCTGATCATCTAATTGAGTTTTAGCAAAGTTTTTTTTATTATATAACATGTTTTCAAAATGATGTTTGGTATTTGGCTGTGACACAAGTTTTTTGGAGGAAGCTTTTGAATTCCTATGATTAGAAACTTTATCATCAAGTTCATTCTTATCTTGTTTAAATGAAGTCAGGTCCTCAGAGCTTTTTAACTGGTCATTTAAAATTCTGGATTTCAAAGTTTTAGTCTCTTTGGCTATATCAGCAATAGATTGTGGATTTACTGTGTGTTGTGGAATGTCTTCATTCTGGATTTCCGAACTACTATCAGATTTATCATTATTCTCTTCTGAACTATCATCATCAAGTGTTTCTTCATCTTTTACTGTTGAGTTATCTTCTCCTTCCTTTCTAGAGATAATAGGCTGATTAGGAGAGTTATCATCATCTGAATTATAAAATACAATTATTTGATAAACACCATATTAGATATAAGCTTATGCAATCTTTTCGAATGTAATGACAACATAATTTATATGCCAACAAACGTCTGAATTTGATAACCAGAGTCTGAAAGCTTTCATTTAAGATGAACATTCCATTACACTGAATAATGTCACATGAGGTATTGAAATATATATTAAAAATAATAGCAAGAACACATTTATTGTATTTGAATAACTTTTGGGAGAATATAACAACATTTTGTGTCATACGCTACATAATTATGTAAAAGTAATGTGCTAAATATCTATATAAATGGCAGTAACTCTCACATTATTATTGCAGACCAAGCAAAATTTAACATGATCTGTCCTTATAGCTTTTAATTTAATTTTTATATACCACCCATGTCAATGCGCCGGTCCGTTCACAATGGCTCGTAAACACTCTACAAGGCACAATTCTTGACTGATTTCGATGAAACTTGGTACATGGTTGTTTGTTATCACCCAAGGATGAACCCTATTGAAAATCAGAAAAATCGGAAAATATTTATGAGTTATTGTCCTTGTTTTTGAAACGCTCGAGATCACTCTAGTAGGTGCACTTCTTGACGGATTTCGATGAAACTTGGTGTGAGTGTTTTATCATTTTACATTTAAACAATATTGACCGGGAGGCCTATTACATTTTTGGTAAACGAAAAAGATACCAATATTTGGCAATAGTGAGCAGTTAGATATATTCCTGGTAATCATTTCAGATTATGTGTCGCATGTGTAGTTTTGACTGGGCATTCTGACCAGGAGTAGACAAAAAAAATAGTCATTACGAAAACGCAATATTTACAATTATCCTTATTTCAAACAATTTTATTTGGGATAAAAAACAAGTAAACACTGTCAAGATCTTTCATATAGCCTTTCAAACAAATTCAAATTGCAGATATCTGGTCTGAACAGGCATCCTTAATATGTAAAACATAATTTTGCAAATAAAACCATTGCAACAGAATTTAAAATAAAAAACAGACAAAGAAAAAGGAATTCAGATACCGATATTGAATATGTACTTTATGTAGCCTAGAATATAATATAAATGATATTGAAATAACCTGTAATAAATCAGTCTAGATTCAGAATAATATTATAAGCAATTTCAACAATTATATTCAAATAATACCTATTATACAAAATAATAACAAAACATATCTAAAAAATCTCTTGTCAGTGTCATAACATGACAGTGACACTGTCAAAATGTCAGTTTCTATAGTTACACGACACCATTCACATGCTTAATCTAAACTCACAACATAATCTTACAGGAAACTAAAATAGCAACATAGTCAGAATTGAGATTGAAAGTAGCGGCAGTCACTTCCTTCCTAATTTTGGTTTTCAAATCTCTAACTGTCAAAGTTCATCAGGGAGATGTCTTTATTATCTGTTTCTCTTGACAGCTCATATTAAACATCCATCTTTATTTCAATTTTAATTTCATAAATCATATTTCAATCATAACTGGCAGCCATTTAGACATTATTTACATCAGGGCAAGATCTCTGATAAAACTCGTAAAAATTATTTCTCACATTTAGTTAGGATAAGGATAAATTTGATATTTTCTTCTGTATTTGTCATATTTAAAGTAACAAATTTAATTTAAATATTTCAATGCTGATTAATGAATGATTTTACATTTCTAAAGGTGCAGAAAAAAAATTAAATCTCAATTTCTTTTTATATATATTTTTTTTTTCATTAAATTGTTAACTTGTTAAATTGTTAACTGCAAAAACACTCATATCCGTATGTGTATCAATTAGTCCTATGGTATGTAGGAAGATCAGCAACAAAAATGAAGACTGAAGCAAAACTTGAGTAGCTTATAAATTCAATAAAGAAAATTTAAACAAAAAATTGATTCATTCAAACCTGAAATGATATTATCTGAGAGAAATCTTACCATTATTACAGACTGATAAATCCATTATTGAAATATTAGATAACGATTTGCTTAGTAGTCAAAATCTCAACCAACTACCACAAAATAAAAACATATAAAGACATATTTTCAGTGAAAAAGTAAAGGATATAATTAATTTCCCGTCTGATGAAATTATTTTGACGAATATTTCAAATGATATGACCCTGTGAGTGGATGATAGTCAGTTCACAGATGGTAAACAGGTATGATATGTCCAAATCTTCAACATTATGACATGTCACATAAAACGATAATAAAAACACCTGTATATGTCACTGTCACAACATAACTGTCATCTGTCATTCACAATGTCTTACCTTGTTAACCAAAATATATTTTTTACCCTAAACCTGACTATCTCAATTTGTGAATACCACAAAGGTTAATACAGGTTTACACACAGATAATGCAGGTGTGTTATAAACCACACATTTACTTACCAAAATTACTTCAGATTTACTTCGTTTATATGTTTCAACCAAATTATATGTCGATGAGTTTAATGAGTAGTTGTAATTATGTTAAAAACTCACATATAAACATATAATGATAATAATTTGGGAAACTTTAATTGTTTCAAAAATGAGCCTTTTAAAAACAAGGCTCTTGATAAAATTTTCAAAGCCATATCATTTTAGTTTGATTGTTGGTTTAAAAAAAACACTTCTTATTTGTAAATTAATCCAATCATAAAAAGAAAATATTTTCAAAAAGCCAGTCATTCTAATGAGGGAAAAGTAATCTCAACATGCAATAAAGCATAAAGAATGGAATGATTAATATGTTTTTATAAAAACTCTGTTGAATATAATATTCATGCAAGAATATAACAAATTAGGTAATTACCCAAAAACAAACTATCTCATGACCTTAAACTGGCCCAGTAATGTGTCTTTCTTATCAAGTGATCCCACATGAACCCACCTTAAATGACCTGTTGTTAAAGAAGTGTGATTGATTAGTATATTGTGCTAGATTATGTTAATGTTATAAATCATTTGTCTATATAACAACTCTGATTTCACTTTCATTAATCTTCACATTTCATTTGTAAATAACAAACGTAGGACAACCTTCTATTCAACTGGAGTTTACCAGCCTAATTTCCATCATATACGGCTCAAACCAACTTTTAGTCTGACATATTTTATAGAAAACTCTAGCACTTTACACCAAAATATCTAAAGCATTAATACACCATAAATCAGGGCAACACCATCCTTTCCAAAAAATCAACACATTAAAAATTGTAATCAGTAGAGTAAGTGGTGGTACTCTTAAAACTAATATACATCATCTCTGAATTGAACAAACCCACAAAACAGAACAAAAAACATGAATAGAAACTGAAAAATATTGAGTGTGTGAGCACAAAAAAAAGGTACAAATAGATGGATTGAGGGACTGGCATTAAAAATTCCTTTAATTTGCTAGTATTGAAATAGTTAAAACAATTTGTTTTGTTATATGACAGGTATTTTATATCATTTTTAACAAGATACATTACTGGTTTGTCAACTCCTTCAAACATTCCTATGTTCCTTGCCAACATTTTTGACAGTTCTTATCTTTCAAAATGATTTTTTTAACAAGGATTTCAGGATTTAATTACCAGTAAATTAGATGACAGATTTATCATTTTTGGAGTCTAACATCTTTATAGTAAAATAATGACTCATGGAATTGTAGACAACATCTCTAATATATAGTTTTCAAAAATGTTCATTTATACTCTGGGAGCTCCAGTTCTTTTTAAGTAAATTAACCTATTGTCTGATATTGTACAATGAAAAATGCAATTAATTTGGAAACTAGTGGACACTAAGTCTAACTACATACATTTACATACAACAATTTGTGATTAAAGTGATTGATGACTCCCCATCATATACTTTGATAAGAGTTATCACCCTTGATTTATGAGATAGAGAAAACAATAAAAGTTAGCCGATTATCCTTATCACTATTTATCATAGAATTTATTGTTTTAATTTGACTAGTGTATAATCATCATTGGAAATAAATAGTCTTTATTTACATTCTGATTCCTTATTTAATCTAGACATCATCTTCAAATAATTCTTCTGGGAATCAAGTATATACTACTGGCGCCATCATCAAAAACAACTTGAAATTGACTGTTAAAATGACAAATATCTCCACAGTAATGATCACATCTCTTAATTTATTACCAATTCTATGGTCTAATTCATGTAATTAAATAAAATTCATTGTACCTAAAATATTGTTCACTTTTGGAGCTTTTTTTCAGTTTTTTTATTTCAGAAAGATATCCATACAAATTTCGCCTTAACACATAATTTTTGCAAAATTATGTTACTAAATTCAACACTATTACTTAAATTTCATAAAATCTCAAACATTAAAAGAGGAGCTACTATAATGGAGCAAAGACATTAGTACACATCTAGAGACAAATAAAAATATAAATTCTACAAAATAAAAAAAAATAAAAATATAAACACTTGAAGTTCATTTTATGATGAAGAAGAATGAATAGTAATCGATCTATATGCTCAACTTCTATCTTGTGCAATAACATTTTAACATTGTACATAGACAGAAATGGGTGACAGCAATATACGTCCCCCAATTTAATGTGGGCGTATAAAAAAAAGGTCATGAACCAAAACAATGGAGAGAGGATGGGAGAATGGGAGAGCGTCATTCGTGTTGCGTAGGAGCAATGAATTGTTTTCCGCGCTGCTGGCTAATTTCTTCTCGAAGACTTTTTCGAAAAGGAAATCCATTTTTAGTGTCAATAATGTCATTTAGTGACTTTTTTAAGGTTACATAGGACAGACAGTTAGGATAGGTTCTTGAAGTTACCTGTAGGACTGTTTTGAGATTAGAAGGAATCTTAAATTTAGGATGTCCTAGCTACACATATCTTTGCTCATCTTAAGTTTTAACCTGTGTCCCCCATGGTTAAATTCAGTTTGGTGAAAATGACATTTTTTAAAAGGTTATGATGGAAGGAGAAGAATGGTATGACAAGAATTAAAATATAATTCTGTATATATCAAATCTAATATTAAAATGATATACATCATTTACCGGTAACTTAATTTTGATTCGGAATAGGTGCACTCCCTTAAATAATGCAGTCAAGATCATCAATAAACTCATAGATTATGATATTGTCATATTTATACAACTTATTCTAAATTTTTTGTCCAACTGGCATCAAACATTTTACACCACTACTCAACAATGGCAAGACATAAATGTAGAAAATGAACATCAAATGGTGGACCAGAAAGGACTAAAGAGAATGGTAAGAGAATATTGAAAAGACATAATTTTTACTATGATTTATGATAATATTCCTGTCATTTTATATTAGATCATATTCTACCATCAACTTCTGGTGACAGTTGCCTTTACTTCTATTTTAAAATATACTTCAACCAATCCTCATCAAATCTGACAGTTTCCATGACAACTGGAGAACAGGAATCCATCAGTGTCAGTTATTTTTCTTATCAGAGAAAATTTGTGTTTGGTTCCATGAGTGATTCCCTGTCTTATTCAAACTGATAGTCGACACAATACATACATCAAAAGATCTGGTTTCATGATACAATTCATATACACTATCATTTTAACTTGTATTATTTCTATTATAGTCCCATGGTAAATCAGTTTTTCAGACCAGATCTACTTCAATTGATTTCTAGATATTATTTATTTCCATGGTTTCGACTCATCTATGGATGATCCTACTTTAGGGTGAAATTAAATAGTGCAAGTTTCATGCTTGGTTTTTGAAACCTACAGTGAAACCTAACAAAATCTATCGAATAGTTTTAAAATCATTCATTTTTAATTTTGTAAGTTTTTCTTTGTAGGGTGTTGTTACAGGGTTATTGGTAAACCCTTCAATATAAATTTCTTTAACAGTTGTTAAATAAACTATTACAAAAAACTTTAATAATATTGAGAAACAATGGTAATTTAAGGAAACAACTCTGTATCCTTTGATGATAAATTAAACTCACATGACAAAAAATATCCATTGGAATAATATGGAGATTTAAATTTTACTTTGTAAAAGTACATGTAGAAATTTATATACTTGTCAAATGATTCTAGAAAATTTAAAGTCAAAACTCTCTTTTACACCAAATCACTGGGGGAAAAAAATTCCAGACCATAAAATGACTATTATTTACTTTAAGATTTAAACTATAACTGTTAATTTACACAATTTAGATAAAAAGATAAAAAAATACTTTTATAATAGTCAAATAAATTGCCTTCAATAACTGTTTGTCATTTTGAAATATTGCATGGTGTGTACAGATAGTAGTTTCCCAACTACAATCAATCCAATAATTCATCCAACCAATCATTTTAAAGCCTAAAAAAGCAATAAAATAGAAGGTTGTCATGAAGAAAGAAGATGTTGATAGCTATTATAATTTAGTTACCAGTATTTACAACATTTAGTCAGGCAATCCTTTCAATTCTACATTCTATTTACCTTCCAAAATAATCACACCAGACTTTTTCAAATAACTTGAAATATAGACATTCAAGACAATTTTTTAAACATTCTATTCTTAAATGTAAATTATTGTTTCAACTTTAAGAATAAATCTCTAACATTGTGTTTAACTTGTAAAATTAAACGTTTCATTCCAACTGAATTAACATATAACATGGTTTTTTTGAATATTTGTTCAAAATAATTCAAGATATTTGAAGTACTTAGCTGTTAGATTTTCTCTTATGACTACCTTTTTTGTATGTAATGAACACTGAACATATTAAGATTAAAGAATTTGTTTTTTTGTCAACCATTTTGGATTCAGTGTTCTCACATGGCTAAGTTTCTAAAATTGTGCCCTTGTTAAATTTTTGCCTTCTGAAAATATCAGTGTAAATTGAAATTTGGGTTCAATAAATGGTAAGACTGTGTTTTTAGAGGATAAAAGTGTAAAATATTGAAATAAATCTCTTAAACAGATAGTTTTATTT